TTTTTGTCACAGAGAGAAGGGAGAACCATGCGATTTGCCCTAAGACAAAACAAGTAAAAGTCCCATCCTGCGTGTAGGACTGCTGGATGCTATCCCCGAGGATTTTATCTGTATATTTTTTTAAACACTAATGCCCATCTCCTCTCAAGTCATTCGGTCGGAAAATTTGGCACCGATTGTGCCAAGCTCACAGCAGCATGGGGCTGGCCATCGCTCCCTGGCGGGTGCAGCCATACTTGCCTGGCATCTGTAGCCCCAGGGCTGCGGAGACCCCCTCCTCTTTTCCTCGGTGGGATTATGAGCGCAGTCCTATCCAGCACAGCGCTGCCAGCAAAGCTTTGAAGTGCAGCCCTGGTAACGAAGCTTTCGCTGCAGGAATGGGAAAATGCCAGGACAGAGAGATCTCCGCCTCCGTCGCTCACTGGCTTGGGCAGAACTGGGAAAACTAAGCAGTTTTTAAAAAGGCGAATCTCCAGACAGGGAATGGGACATATTTGTTCTGCGGTTACAAGATCTTTGCCCTCTTGCATTTTGCTCCAGCCTTGTAACCAAAAGGTTATTTCCACCAGCATGGGCAACACACAGAGCTAACCCCACAGCTATCTTAAGGACCAACATCAAGCTGTGGAAACTGCTGGCTTCCAGACAGAGCCGGACAAGCCCCAGTTCTGGGGGGAAAGAAGAAGCAGGGTGGAAGGTGGGTCTATTTACCCCACTGACTCTATCTGGCAAGGGGCCAGGCCTTAAACAAAAACCGTCTGGTGCATCTTCCAAGGAGCTGGCCCAGCGTGGAGCTGCTTCTTGGCAGAGGGAGACGCTGGCTTCCTCCATCAGCAGGGCAATGAGCAGCTTCACACACGCTCCGTTAAGTCACTGCTTCGTTGGTGGCCTTCCCAGCACAGGATGGCTGAGCCCAGCCACCCCGGGTGCACATGGGGGAACCATTTTAGGCTCCGGTGACAGAGGCATCAGCAAACACTGCTATAAATAGTGGTGTCGAAGGAACGAGATGGTCAGGCTGTTCAAATCCTGGCACGGCCCTGCTAGCGCTGATAGCAAGTGCCCTTTGCTTGTTCTCTTGCCGCCAGGTCCTCTTATCTATTCTTCCAACTCCGAGTGTTTCTGTCAGCCTGTCACCAGGTCCCCTGCCCTGACATTTTAGCCTCCTGGGATGGCTGCAGGTCCCTGCTCGCATTTGTTGGCCACTATTCTGCACTCTGGAAAGGACGTAAAACTAAATGTGCTGCAGGGACAAGGTGGAGTCCCTGCCAGTGCAGCCTGGGACCCCTCATGGCCAAGACCACGGGGTTGTCGGGACAGGCCTGTATTTGCATGGCCCCTACACACTGGGACCTGCTGCTGGGCCTGCAGGCATCACTGCAGAGATATGGGGTTTTGCACTTAAGAGCTCTTCTGGATTTCTGCTTTTCTTCTGCAAGGAGCTGGAGTCATCCTCCAGACCTGAGGTTACCTCTGGATCATTCTGATCTCTGTTATGGTGATGGGGAAACTGAGGCAGGGAGGTGTCATGACTTACCCTATGTACACGAGGACCAGGAGAGCAGAGTCCACACTCTGCCTGCCCTTCCTGCCATGCAGCTGGTTATCAGGGGTGTCACATCAAGAAGCCCCACAAGTTTTGGGGGTTAAATCCTGGATTCATCATGAAAAGCGGTTCCTGCTATTGAAAGGCCATGATTACCTTGTGAACATCTGTGTTGACAATAGCTGAGTGGCAGCATAATTCTCCATCAGCTCTGCCTCCGCTTTCTCCTCCTCCATGTTCTTTATTTTAAAGCACACTCATTGCAAAGCCCTTCGATGCCTGATGAAGGAAAAAGCTCAGAAAACAGGCAACAGAAACAAAAACTCAGGCTTGCAGCAAACCAATGACAAGACATCACAGACCCAACTATGCAAACGTCCCCCTCCTCTCTCTGCATGGCCTTGGCCTATGTCTCTCCATGACCTGTTGGCTCCTTGGCCCCAGTGCCAACGCTGGTCCCCAAGGGCGAGTCAAGGGCTCGGGGCAGTCTTTGCGTGAACATCAGAGGCAGCTCTTGGCTTTGGCATGGACATCCTGACCTCTCAGGACTGGGTGGGCTCACCTGGACTTTCACTGGTGCAACATGGGTCTTATCAGTGCTGGAATTTGTTTTCCTCCAGGCATCTGGTGGAAGAACATGGAGGATTGGGGATGGGCGCAGGGAAGGCATTCCAGCAAGCAAGGCTGCACAAGAACACTCTCTGCTGAGGGCCATCCGTCCCTTAAATGAACACCCATAGCAGACATACTGCCCTGAGGCCTATGGACATTCCTTGGCTATATTTGGTGACGGATGGAGAATTTGTTGCTTCCCCTTAACCCATCTGTTCTCCTTATTGGCAGGAAGGAGCTAACACCAGAACTGCAGTGTCGCTATTTGGATAAACCCAGTACTTCAGCAGCAATAAATCTCCCCTAAAAAGCTTTTGCTGCCTCCCACCTGTTGGCTGGGAGAAGATCAAGTTGACAAAAGTCTTCTGCCAAATTGTATTTTTATCCAGGACTTCATCACGAGTCCAGGTTACAACAAAAGCCTGTTCACGAAGCAGAGGAAGGTAGCTATATCACAACACATCTCTCAACTCTGGAATCCCCCCTCTCCCAGAGGCCTCCAGTTCCCAGGTAGCTGCTTTTATTACATTTTCTGAATTCCCTTAAATCCCAAAAGGCCCTTTTCCTTCTCGTCACTCCCACCCCTTCACCATAAAACCTGGGAGGTCCCAAGCAGAGACCCCAGACTCTTGCTGGCTGCACCAGGGAGCCAAAATACCCGTTGTGAGAATGGCAACAGAGAGAGCTGGGCTGGGACCAACACAATTTATTACAGAAAAACACCCAGAGAGATTTCATTAACATGGCAGTCCATTCACAAGAAAAACCGCCGGAGGACAATGAAATGAAACCCACAGCAACAACACACAGCGGGAAAGTCCAGTCGTCGGCCAGTGCAGCACAAGAGGCACAACCACACTGGCCCACCAGGGTGGAAGATGTGCCCAGCCCATGCAGCCAGTCCTGGGGATTGCATTGCTCCCCCAGCCTGAGGCGATGTCACGGATGGGCACATGAGGAAAGTGCAGCAAATCCACATCTGCCAGTTGTAGTGACGCAGGGAAAAAAAAAAACCAAAAAACAACTTAGGAAACCATGTGGATAAAAGCAAATGGGGCAGCCATTGCAGGAACGGAAAATCCTCCTCACACAGGAAGGACTCAAGAGGTGCAAAGGGAGATCTACCTCACTTGGAGCCCGTTTCCCGAGCCCCATGTCTCCCAGTGAGTCCCTAAGCTGCCCTGGCAGCCGGAGGACCCTAAGCAGTCGCTAAAATTCCTGCCTGCACTGTGCCCCTGCCCCCCAGCTTGCACCCAGCTCCCTGTGCATCTCATGGCCCAGAAAGGCAGCAGTGAAAGCTGCTGAGATCCAGGGCCCTGTCCCAAAACCACAACACATTGCTTCCCCGGAGCTAACAGCACCTTCAGACAGGGCATCTCCTCCTGCACAGCCCAGTCCTGCCAACGTTCCTCATCAAAAGGAACGCATGCCTCACGGCACCCAATGCAAGCACCCATCCCCAGTGGCTGTGCTTGCACCCCGTATCCGATCTCACCAGCACCCTGCCCTGGCCAGGGGTTCCTAAGGGCTTGCTGACAACCCTATTCCTCTTACAACATCACCTCCCGGGCTGGCGGGAGGCCCCAGTGCAGCCCATTTGCGAGCTGGCCTTGGCTGGGCTTCCACAATGCGATCTTCAGGAAACACCTTGGAAAAGTTTATTGGGAGGCCAGGCTGTTCTCCCCCTCCCAGCTGCCAAAAAGGTCTCCAAGATACAGTTCAGATCCCAATATCTGGGGTTCACATTAAAAAGATGAGACCTTTTTATAAACCTGTATATTAATAGATGTGTTACCGAAATACTTTCAAGACTTTGTTTGTTTGTTTCGATTTTAGACCTTCTTCTAAGGTGCTTGTCACCCAGACATGACAAATAACAGTCTGTTAACAAAGTTAAATAGTTTGGGGGGGGAAAAGTGCAATTTGCTTTTCACTGCTAGAGCAGGATTTAGTGCAATGAGAAGACAGTCTCCCGAGCCACTGAAGGCATCACCAGCTTGTTTATATATTCGTCAAAAGCGTGATAACTCGGGCTCTAGCCTTGCTGTTGGGAAGGGCTGAGCTGTTTTAGCTGAAGCCTCCCTGCAAAGTTGAGCTAGAGGCAGACACATACCTTGGGAAACTTCAGCCCATGGAGTTGGTGTTTGTAGAAAACTACTATCTGATGACACTGGGCATCCTTCATGCCCAACCATGGGGTGTACTGCCTAAAAAAAAGAAAAAAAAAAAAGAAAAAAAAAAGAAAAAAAAAACACAAGAAAGAAGTAGTCTTCAAATTTTTCTCCTGAGAGTGTCCTTTGGGACAAGGCTTTGTGCAGAAACATCAGTGTGATTTTTCACACCGATTTTGGAGCAGCTCTCCAATTGATTTCTCTTCCTGTTTTTTAATCAGAGATTTGGTTCTCTCTCACAGCATCACTAGCAGAGGTGTCTATTTTAGGAAACACCAGAGGTTTTAAGAAGCTGAGGAGAAAGAGATTATCAACTCATATGGGCTCAGCCTAGAAAGGGGGAAAAAATCCTTTCATTAAAACCCCCAGGCTGAAATTCTCTGCAGATTTACCTAAATGGACTTCAAATTATGTCCCTAATATATTAGGGCCTGCTTTTAACTTAATTCAAGCCCTAGGCATGTGTCTGCAGACCCTGGACGGCTCACACAAGAGCTGGGCTTTGGATGCCTCACTGAGATTATTATTTTTAAGTGCTAACCCATGCAATTGTGAAACCCAAATTTAAAAACCTGGGCCAACAATACACTAGCCCAAAGCTCCAAGCAGGAAACAGGATATTTTTTTTTAAATATATGTAAGTTTTGTTTCTATTTTTCCAAATTTTAGCGCATGAAAGGAAAGCTAGTCAGCTAACAAAATCTTGGTAAAAGGACAAAGACATGAAAGATTTTCTGGTTGGGGAGCAGGGACTGGGTCTGTGAAGGAACAATATTATGGTTTAATTTTAGTTAAAAAGCACATTTTGTTTCAGAGCTGCAAGAAGGGTTTCTGCATGCTCCCAGCTTTCCAGTTCAACAGTTCAGCCTGCACATTTGCTTTGTAAATCAAAGGCTTTGGGAATTACCTGGGGGTTTAAAGAAAAGCCAATAGGTTAAACCTGCCTGGCACAAACAGTCCACAAAAGGCGAGATCCATCCTCGAGGGATTTTGCCTGAAGCAAGTGCAGAGCATGGACAACAGGGAAACAGGCTGGTGGAGCTGCCCGGCGCAGGAGACCCTCCAGCCCCACAGGGAACGGGGACAATGCCACGACATTGCAACAAACACAGAGGCGAAAGGAAGCCTTTCGTCAGCCCTCTCCTCCATCCATGCCCCCAACAAGGCTCCTGCTGGGGAATAACCTCACGCTCACCAGGGCAAATGCTCTCTGCCTTGCAGACCACAACCCAGGTCAGAGCGTGGTGCGTGGGGTGAAGTCTGTGCCGCGTGCTGGGGGCTGCGGGACCACCCAGCTCCGCTACTTGCTGTTCGGGGTTTGCTTCTCCTGCGCCGGCCGCTTGTGCTTCTGGGCGATGCCGTAGGGGACGTGGGCGGCGACAGTGCCCATCTCCTTGGCTCCCTCCACGTGGAACATCTGGTCATCAAAGAAGATGTGAGGACGGATCTTCTTCAGCAGCGGCCCCTTTGGAGCCCCAGCCAGGAACAAAGCCTCATCCGTCTCCAGGCCCCAGCTGCGCAGAGTCTTTAGGGCCCGAGCTCCCGAGCTGGCTGCGCTCCTGGCAGTGACCAGGTAGGTGCGAATGGGACACTCCATCCTCAGCCCCTTGGAATAGAACTTCTTCTGCAGCTTCCCCAGGGCCTCCAGGAAGCCCTTCAAGGGTCCCTGCCAAAGGAAGAAGAAACCATCACTTTGCAGACTTCCATGCTATCCCTTCCTCTAAGCACCCAGTCCTAGCAGAGCCAGACATGCTAGCTAACCCCTTCTCCCTCTGAGCCCCCAGAAACAACAGTGAGGGGCCAGCCACAGCCACCCCGTGGGCCAGCAGTACCATCCTGCTGACCCACCCCATCTCACACTCAACATGCTGACCCTTGGCTTGTTCCCAGAGGTGAGAGCATCCCTGCAGGCTGTCTCTCTCCCAGAGGCTTTTTCTGACCGCACCCCAGCACTACCTGTGCCAGAGGCTTGTTCTCGTGAGCCTTTTCATGCTCAAAGAACATGTCCAAGCCGTGAGCCTTCACGATCTGCTCCGACTCATCAGAGAAGAGCACGGCGTCACCATCAAACGCCACCCGCAGCTGGTTCTCCGACACCTCCAGGTCTTTGCTGGGGCTGAAGATGGTGGCTGCAGCAATCCCTGTGGACGTAAAGCGTGAGGCAAGAGGTGGCAGTTACCCAAGAACCTAGCCTCATCGCTTATCCATTGAGGAGCACAGCAAAACATGACGGGCTGGAAGCAAACACTGCAAGGAAATGCACGCACCCAGTAGTGCCTGCAGCTTGGATCCAAGTCCTTTTACAGCAAAAACAAATCCCCAGATGACAAACCTCCCTTTACATACAAGAATTAACAGGGAAAAACAGTGCCTTTGCCTTGGAAGAGCTGTAGAGCTCAAGGAAAGCCTTATTTCTATGGAAACTAGAGGCTCTTTGGAGCATCAAGGATGGGATGTGGGACAAGGGAGACCCTAGCTGCACATCAATGTAGGGACAGGGACATTGGAGTTATCACTCCTGGCACCAACCCCCTGAGGGCTCCAGGCTCCCCCCCACTACCCTCCACTCAAGCTGGACCCCAGACTCACCCTCTTCAATGGCCCCACTCACTTTCTCGGCATCGGAGGAGAGGTAGAGGTTGGTGTGATAGGCCTTGAGGTAACAGATGGGGCTGTTCCCTCCCGTCATGCAGAACCTCTCGATGAACAGATCTGAGGACAGATGGACCCAGGGTGAGCCTGACTGCCCCCCAAACAAGCCTTGATGCTGCTCCCCTGTGGCTTCCCAAGAGTCGGCAGGATGGGCGCTAATTTTGGTACTGCCGTTCAACAGCATGGCCAGCAGCCAGAGCATCCTTGCCACCAGCCAACTTCCACTCAAAGCCCAGGAAATTTGGGAGAAGTGGGCTCAGCATGTGGTTTGGAGGAAGAGGCAGGAGAAAGTCTCCTTATCTTGCTACCAGGCAATAACACTTTGCCCAAAAGCCATCAGCACCCCCGCAAAGGACAGCTTTGCTCTCAGCTTACCATAGTGGTTGATGCTGTTGATCAAGCGAACCCCAACCTGGGCATGGTTGTTGGTCATGAGGACGATGTCAAAGAGCTCCTCACTGTCAGGGTAAAGCTCACGCAGCTGCGTGTTCACTGCTTCCAGCGCCTGCAGCACCCCAGGGCAAAGTGGGGAGGTGGGTGTCAGCGAGCCCCAAGCATGGCCCTGACCCCCTTCTCACCAAGCAAAACACTTCTGTTCACCAAAACCAGGGATCTGGCCCAACCCCAACTACACCCTGAGCCAACCTGACATCAGCAAGCAGCTTTAGCTGGGAAAAAAGAACTGATTTGGGGGAAAAACACATAGCTACTCTTCTATTTTCAAACACAAAAGGTTTCAAATTTTCATTAGGAGATGAGAATAAATTATCTCAAAGTTACAGATGAGTGTTTTTCAAGCAATCAGAAAGAGAACAAGTCTCTCCCCACCAACTGGATTAGTTTATTCATTGGGAATGGACAAGAGATTGCTTCAGTGTGGGCCAGCACACAAAACTGCACTGAATCCAGTGGAACTTGGGCAGAAATTGGAAAATATTTTTGAAGTTTGAAATGCTTCATTTCAACATGTCAAAATTAGAAATTGGCTGACTCTGTAGCAAGGCTAAATTCAGCCAATTTAAAAGAATAAATAAATTGTAATTAAAAAAAAAAAAAAGAATTCCCTAAAGGGAAACTTTAATATGATCCAAGGAGACGATTTCTTCAATTCTTGGGCTCAGTTGCCAATCTGGAAAATTCAGCGTTTCCTCAGTCCTGGAAGAAGCACATAACTTGCCGGGAGGTTTATTTGACCTCTGTTTGCTCTGTGGTTACATCCCTTCTGCCACGCTGCTCATTTCCCATCCCTTCCCCACACAACCACCCCATAGCACTCCCCTCTCCCCAGAACTTTTTGGTCAGGACCACAGTGCAGATTCAGCTTAGGCGGGTGGATGCTCACCTTGACGAAGGGGAAGGCAGCCCCAGGGAGGAAGGGCTCGTTCTCATGGTCCAGCTGGTATTTCACATAGGCTTCCACCCCTTGCTCGTTGTAAATCTTCTGCTCCTCCTCCATGCGGAAAAGTGCGCGCGACGACACCGCGATGGTGATGGCGTTCTCAGGCTTTGGCTGTGGGGAAAGGGAGAAAATGGGGAGGCAGCCCCTGCACCCAGCCCCGCTGCCTGAGAAGGTATCTGTTAAGTTTCAACACAAAAGGCAACGAAGCGAGTGACACCTCCATAGCGATTTGGAGGATAATGGGGCAGGTGCAACCCTGATCTTCTAATGCCTCAACAGATGAAGCCCTGATGCACCGTCCCCACACATTTGGGATACACAAGAGCCTTTTTTTGCTGCTTGCACCATGCCCGAGCCCTCCCACTGCAAACAGGCTCCCAGGACCCACCCGGACCCAACGTGCTACCCCAGGAGAACCACTCAACCCATGCAGAAGGGATTTGCGTGTTTTTTCTCCCCCCCCAGCCAGGAAAAAAACCCCCACATATTGCGGCTTGGCCAGATCCGTGCTCCCACGATGCTGTCCAGATGTGATGAACAACCCGTGCCAGCTCAGCTTATAAAAACACTTGATATAGTTATTGTGGGCGGAAACATGACAAACAGGTGGTGCAAGCAATGATTTATGAGTCATTATTATTAATGTTCGAGGGCTTGATCCAAAATCCACCGAAGTCAACAAGGGGCCTCTAGTGGGACGTGGCAGCGGGACAGGGGACACCAGGAAAGTCAATCTTATCTTGACCCCCACTCGTCCTCCCTCTCCCCCTTGGAGGGCAGAAGGTTGTTAATCCCCATCACTCACTTGCAAGCATGAAAGCAAATTCATTACTGATGGCCAACAAATCCTCGGTTCCAGAACAGCAAATCCTAAGCAGGGACAGTGGCACAGGCAGCCCTGTTCCCAGCAGACTCTGCCTGCAACGAGTCCTGGGAGCAGGACAGGACTTGGGAGCTCACATGGGGGATGCTCCCCGGGAGCTGTGACCAGTCCCAGCCCACACGCTGCCTGGCTGCACTTAGGGATGCATCTCTGCAGGGAGCCTGGGAAATCCAGGCGTCAGCACTTCAGAAACACCTCAACCTCAGCTCCTCTGTGATTTCCAGGATCCTCGTGTAGCACGTTGCCCTGTGAGTAATCCTCCAGCAATGCCGTTTGCCCAGGGGCAGGAGGGCACCTTGGCCAGCTGCTCTGCACACCCACATGCTCCAAAGTTCAAGCTCCCACCCTGCCTAGGGCTGAGCTTTACAGAAACAGCAGCCTGGCAAGGACAAGGTACCCCATCGGCATTGGGGATCTTCACTCCCCACAGGGCTGGGCTTGCCCTGGGGCTCACTCTGCCCTCAGCCCGGCCCCACTGATCCTGCCCAGCATGGAGACGCACCCAGGAATGAGTCAATGGCAGCCCTTGTGCCATTCCCAGCACCGCACCCACCCCATAAGCGGTGCCCGGAGCCAGTCCTGCAGCGTGGTCGGTCCCAGACACCTCTCCAAGGCCACATTGGTACCCAAAATCCCCAGCAAGCAGATTAAGCAGTGGGCGATTAGGACTAGACACGGATTAGCTCAGGCTGAGAACATCGCTGTGGCCAGAGGGAACCCTTTCCCACTGCCTTTGCAGAGAAATAAGGTCCCATTTGGAAGAGGCTCTTGAGAAAGCAGGTGAACAACCCCCAGGACATGCAGGATCACCCAGGTCCATACAGAAGCTTATCAGCAACACCAGCATCGCTCCCACAAGTGAACTGCAGCCAGGTCCCCATCTTACATTTAGCTACCTGCTGGGTATTAGCTGTTAACTTGTCATGGGCCAAGTCTTGGCACTCCAACTCATTAATTAATAACTCTGGTGTCATGGGCCATTTATTAGCTGAAAATATTAATAACTATTAAAGGTCTCGGAACATCCGGCCATTAGCCTTCAGCAAGGAGTCCTGCCACGCCATGCTGCTCATGAGTCCCTGCAGTGCTGGGTTATCGGGATACACAGGAGAGCTGCCGGGAATTTGCTCCCCGATCCTGGTCCCCGCCGGACCTCAGGGCAGAGCATCCTCCACAGCCAGCCCTGCCGGAGGATCCCCAGCAGAGAAAGTAGGTCAGCAGCACGCACAGCGCAGAGGCATGTTCAAGGGGGTGAGATGCGTGTGCGGGGCCATAAGCCAAGCCTAGCCGGGTGCCCAGCCTGAATTTGCATCTCTATCTCCCCACGGCACACACCTTGCACCCGGCGGGTGCCAAGAGCACAGGTACCTTGCGCAACGGCAACAGGCTGCTCAAGGTCCCTTCCCTGCCATTTAAAGGCACCAGCCTCCAGGAGGTTAATTTAAGAGGTAATAAACACAGCAATAAAAATAACCGTAAGCTTGGGGCCTAACTCTGCCCCAGCGTGGGCTGCTGGAGCCCCAGCTGCCTGCGGGCAGGAAGCCCGGCCTCTGGGAATGGGACCTGCTGGATCCTGTTCGCTCCTGCCAAGGAAGATTTGCACCTTTGGAGCACTTTCTGTAGGAAAGTCTCATCCGGGCGCTAACGTAGCTCCCAGCTCCGGCTGGGCTGGAACAGCCCTGCTGTTCTCTGGGAAATGCTGACATTTGAAAAATAAGGCAATTCTGCTCTGTGAGGAGGGAGCCACATTTTGACATTTCTTTGAAGTGAAGGTTGCATTTGGAAGCACTCCCTCCTCAGGGTTGTTTGGATGCTTCTCCATCCCCACTAGTACTATAGGTGATCATTACTACATTCAAAAACGGCCTTTAAAGAGTCATAGCACTACAGGAACCACAGCACCTCAGTGCTGCGAACAACCCAACAAACCTCACTTTGCCTTGAAACATCACAGTTTTGGGGAAAAGCACCCTTCATTTTTAATAGGAAGCGCGTGCATGGGAGAGGTCCCACTCGCAGTCCTCACCGGGATGCATTTAGTCCCACAAGCTGTCGTAGAGCCTGCACAGTACCCCATCCCAACGCAGCCTCCTGCTCCAGCTGCCCCAGCCCCGGTGGGTTTGGACACTCTAAATGACAAACTCTGGTTTACCCTCAGAGCAGCAGCCAAGGTCAGCCAAGGTCAATTAAAGATCATCATCCAACACAAGCCCCGGAAGCAGCTGTGGGGCTCTGCTCAGCTGAATCCAGCCGAATTTGCTGCCTGGGGATTCACGACGAGCTCCTCTCCCTTCTTCTTCCCTTCCCACAGGAAGGTCAGATCCAGCCCCATCCTGAACACCAAGCAAGAGACTAATGATGTCTTTAACAGAAATGCGAGTAGGGCAGCACAGGGGAAGGTCCCATCCCAACCCTGGATCCATCTCCGGGCTCAGCCAGACAGGAGGGACAACCAGAGACACGTCCTGACATCCCAGCCCTCTGAAGAGGAACATCAGCCCTTGGCACAGCCTCCAGGTGGTCCACGAGGTCCAAACCTCATCTCAGAAGCATAAGTGACCTTGCCAGCAGGCTCTGCCTCCATAAAGTGCAAAACCCATCCCAGACCCAAACACCCCAGTTTTGGGGTAAAGACATATTTCAGTAGTGACTGGAAATGGCACATTTTCTTCTGCAGACCCAACAGCTGGCAGGCCTTTAAATCGCCCTCCTAATCGGCCATAAATCCTAAGCAGCCCCCCAAGGATTAAAGGCAGACATTTGGAAATCCCACACGGAATTGTGCAGCGGGGCTGTGCCCTCCCAGCTGTGAGAGCCACAGGTGCCCACAGTGGCACCCAACACCAGCAGCTTCACTGCCAGCCCTGGAGACCATCACTGGCTGGCTCTGAGGCAGGAGCCACAGTGGGGACCCCATTCTGCACCCCTTGATCCTTTTGCATTGCCTGGGGCTGAATCTGCTGGACCCACCTTGATCCTAAAAACCTGGAGGAACTCTGGCAGCGCCGGGTACTTCCCTGGATGCTGCAGAAGACCAAATCCATGTGGCCAAATTCAAAATTTGGAGGTGAATTTTGGTGTGAGATCTGGTCACAGAAAGAGAAGAGGAAGGGCTTGCTCCAGGGTCAAGCATGGCCCCCACCCCAGCTAAAGCTTCCCAAAAATGAGGCACGCTGGTGAGCCACGTGGGTGTCCATGGGTGCAGGGGACTGGCAGAGCAGGGGACGAGCAGGGCACCCAGAGGAGTGGAGCTAGCAGAAGTTCAGCTCCCACAGACCCAGACTCTCCCCCCTGCGCAGCGTCACTGGAGAGGCTGGGGGACATTTTCCACATTGCTGAAGAGTGACAAGCCTCATTGCTGACCTCCCCAGCTGGCAGGAGCGAGGCCAGAGCAGGCGTGGGAGCCAGGGCGTGAGAAGACCGGAGACCCCTGCAAAGCAGGGAGCCCCATGGGCTGCGGGGACGCCCTGTTAACCCGTTTCCCAGCCAGGAACGGGCTCTCCAAAAATGCTCCCCTAAATCACCCTGCCTCCTGCCATCTTACAGCACATCTCCAGGAGGGAGCAGCCCCCACAGCTCGCGCCTGCTCCCCCACCAGTACCTGCTCCGGCTGGCAGAAGCATTTGGCCGAGAGGACGGACAGACCCAGCACCTGCAAGGGCGCAGACGGACAACAGCAAACTCCATTTCCCATGTGCACGAGGGAGCCCTGGGTGGCCACAAGCCCCCTGCTCAGGATCAGATTAAAGTTCAAGGCAATGGCTGAGATGTTTTTGAGTTTTCCAAACACATTATTTATAATGCAGAAAACTGCTCTGCAGCCATCCGTCACAGGGCCTGACAGCTGCCTGGCAGGGCAGGGCAGCCCAGCTGTGTGCGAGGGCAGCCGAGCCGCCTGGCCACGGGCACAGGGCTGGGCAGGCACCGCAGGCATCGCCCCCAGCCCCACATGCGTGGATGGCACAGCCTAACTTCACGGCCCAAGTGCCTGGATCTCGGCTCTGCTGCTGGTTTGCTGTGTAAGCAAGCCACATCACTGCCCCGTGCCTCAGTTTCCCCAGCTGTACAGCAGAGACGGGCACGCTGGTCATCCAGCTCGCTGCAAGGAGAGGAAGAGGAGGAGCCTGGGCTGACATCCACAGGAGGCTGAAGGCATGGCATGAAAGACAACCAGCCACGTCCCGCCACCAAACCAGGCTGTCCCTCTCCTCCGGGAAGGGTGAAGGCAG